CTCCTTTTTTAATTTTTTTTTTCTTCTGAGCCAGCTTTAGCTTTGAGGCTGGGCTCCAGCTCTTAGGCCTCTACTGCTGAAAGAAGGTTTTTGGTTTGTTTACCTTCTGTATTTGAAACAATGTTGCGATCCTGCTGGTTGAAGTCTGACAGGCTGAAACAGGTTTCTGGGTGTTTTTTTTTTTTTAACTTCTATGTTTGTAACATAGTTGCTTAGAGTTGCAACTCTGAGGCCAGCAGCCCCAGTCAGGGAACGTTGGAGTCCTCCGTCACTGAAGCAAGCAAGCCTCATGTTAGTTTCAAGCTGCCTGACTGCCGGCCACCATCTTGGCTGGAAGTTAATTTGAATATCACCGGGATTAGCCAATGTGAAGGGTAGTGGTCATATGCTAATTATCATGTTTCTCTTTTATTAGATAGGATACTTCTTTCCCCCTCTCTCCTCTCTACAGACAATTAGGCTGCTTGTTGTTGTTCCACATCTCACTGATACTCTTCATTCTGTCATTTTGTTTCTCTTAGTTTTTTTCCTTTGAATGGTTTCTGTTCCTCAACAGGAATTAATTGATCTCTTCTTTGGAATTGTCTACTGTGCTTTATTTAATGTATCCATTGTATTACTGTTTCACATATTTAAAATTTTTATTTTGTACCTTTTTATATCTTTCATGTGAACATGTGGAATGTAGTTATGTTATCCATGTTAATGTTATTTTCTTTAATTTTAATATTTGTGTCATTTCTTGATCAGTTTTGATTGATTTAGTCATTTTAAGGGTCATATCTCCCTGCTTCTTTATATGCCAAGTAGTTTTTGATTGGTTGCCAGATATTATGAAGGTTACTTTTTTGAGTGCTGAGGATTTTTTGTTGTTAAAAATGTTTTTAGCTTTTTCCTTGGATGTAGATAATTTATTTAGGAATAGTTTGCTATCAGACTTGCTTTTTAAAATTGGTTAGATGGAGCCAGAACCAGGTTTACTCTGGGACTAGTAGTTTCCCACTACTGAGGCAAGACCCATGTTAATGCTCTGCCCAACACTCTGTGAATAACATGTTTCCAGAGAGGCTGTTGAGGATACACATGACAAGTGGGTGAGGAGTGCTAGTCCCTAATCCTTTAGAATGGGCCTTTCTGTGGCCTTGGATAGTTTTTCACATGCATGTACTGATCCATTCTCTTGCTGATTATGCTAGGGAACCCTCTGAGGAGATCTGGGGTTCTTGCTCTGTGCAATCATATCCTTTCTGATACATTCAGGATCAATATTAGCCCTGAGATTCATAAAGGGAAGTCACATTTCATGTAAATATGTCATGTTTACCTATTGTTGGCCTGCATGACTGTGGTTAAGTCACACAGACATCCTCCAATTGAAGGTGATTTAGAAATGCCCTCAGCTTCCCAGGACAGCTATGGATTAAGAGACCCTTTCTAATCTGAAACTGGACTAGTTCCCTGAATATGTGTAGTGAAGTAAATTGCATCTATGTGATAAACATGTATATTTATCATGTTTGACCATAAATGGAAATTTAATGCTTAATATACAACCCTCCCAGATTTGTACTCAGAGTAACCTTACAAGTCATGAATGACCATTCATTTCTAATATATTATCATATTATATCTGTCCAGCATCCACTTACTCTGGTGCTATTTTTAATCTTGTACTATAATACTATAAATACTAGTGGCCTAGTGCACAAAATTTGTGCTCTGGTAGGGTCTGTATGGCCTCCAGCCAGGTAGTTCCTCCCTTCCCCCAGCCGCCTGCCACCACTGCCATGCTGCAAGCTGGGGCCTCCCTCCCCAGGGCTTCCCTCCCTTCCCCTGGCTGGTCCCACCCCCAGTCAAACTCCCAGATGAACTCACGGTCGAGGAGACAATGCATAGTACACTTGTATTATATAGGATTTGTTTTGCATTTTTTAAATAGCAAATTGATGCTAACCACTATATTTTATTTAATGTTTTAGAAACACTCTGTTTTAGAGAAAAAAATGGCGTATCATTTACCAAAAAAGCAAGAAAATGGCTTCAAAAGAAAAGAGATGGGAAAAAATCTATCTGATGACAAAGGACAAGATGGAACACAGTGTAAATGCAAGAACATTAAAAATGATGTGGTTCTGTAGAAAGCACTCTTCTATGTATTTAAATTAAAATTCTTTTGTAAAACTTTGCTTACTCTTGCTCTACTTGCTTTGTAGCAGGCACAGTTCTAGGCATTTCCCTATTATAGTTCAAGTGAAAAGTAGACATATATGTTAAAAAAGAAACCAAATAATCTTACCAAATGATTCTCTGACAAGTTTTCCTATACTGCAGTTCTATCTAATTTCCCTATACCTAAACGAGTATGTTGCTACTGAAATTTGAAAAAGTTGCATGTAAGAGAATGGTTATTATATACCAATACTAGAGGCCTGGTACACAAAATTCGTGCCGGGGGGGGGGGGGTCTCTCAGCCCAACCTGCACCCTCTCCAATATGGGACCCCTTGAGGGATATCCGACTGCCCATTTAAGCCCAATCCTCTGCAGGCCTGGTTGCCCCCAACTGCTCTTCCCTGCAGGCCTGGTCACCCCTAACTGCCCTCCACTGCAGGCCTGATTGTCCCCAACTGCCCTCCCCTGCAGGCGTGGTTCCCCATCTACTCTCCTCCCCTGCAGGCCTGATCGCCCCCAACTGCCCCCTCCTGCAGGCCATCTTGTGACCACATGGGGGTGGCCATCTTGTGTGTTGGAGTGATGGTCAATTTGCATATTACCTCTTTATTAGATAGGATAGTTTTCTTATATGTTGCCAGCCAGAAAGAATAATAGACAATACCAAAGAAAAACAAAGGGAAGAAGGAAGGGAGGAGTTAGAGAAGGAAGGAAAATAAGAAAGAATTGAAGGGAAAAAAGAAGGAAATAAAGTTTAAAGGAGAAATATTAGGTCTCGACTTTTCTATGCTTGATCTCTACCAGCTGTCTTTTATTTATAACATTATAAAAATACTAGAGGCCCAGTGCATGAATTCATGCATGGGTGGGGTCTGGCTGGCTCACCCTGATGGGGCTTATCTGGCCAGGCCCTTGGGAGGGAGGGGCCATGGGCGTTTGATGGCTGGCCCTACCCATGATTCAGGTGTTGGGGCCGATTGGGGGCTTGGTATGCCGAGTAGGGGTTGCAATTAGGGCCTGGATCAGGCTGGTTGGCTGCCACAGTGCATGTCATAGCCACTGTTTGTCCTGGTTGTTCTGCCTTTCCGGTCTCTGGGCTTTTATAGATATACTAGAGGCCTGGTGCACAAAAATTTGTGCACTCAGTGGGGGGTTCCCCTCAGCCAGGCCTGTGCCCTCTCACAGTCTGGGACCCCTCGGATGATGACCACCTGCTGGCTTAGGCCTGCTCCCGGAGGATTGGGCCTAAGCTGGCAATCAGACATTCCTCTGGCAGCCCGGCAGCCCTCGGGGGTTTGCCCTGAAGGGTGTCCTGGATCAGGGTGGGGGTCCTGCTTGGGTGACTGGGCAGCCTGGGTGAGGGGATGATGGCTGTTTGCAACTGGTCACACCCCCTTCAGGGTGGGGGTCCCCACTGGAGTGCCTGGCCCACCTGGAAGAGGGGATGATGGCTGTTTGCAGCTGGTCACACCCCCTTCATGGTGGGGGCCCCCACTGGGGTGCCTGGCCAGTCTGGGTAAGGGGCTGAGGGCCATTTTCAGGCTGGCGGGCAACTGAAGCTCCCAGACTCTCCTTTTTTTCTTTTTTTTTTTTTCCTGGGATTTATTTACCTTCTATACCTGAAACTTTGTTTTCTTCAGTGGAACCTCCTGCTTGCTCCAGCTCCGTGGCCATGGCCGGCTGAAAGCAGGTATCTGGGGTTTATTTATCTTCTATAATTCAAACTTTGTTGCTTTCAGTGGAGCTCAGAGCTGGCCACGGCAGTTGGGAAGCATGGCTTCCTCCATCACTGGAGCAACCAAGCCTCCTGCTTGCTCCAGTTCCATGGCTGCCGGCCTCCATCTTGGTTGGGTTAATTTGCATATAGTCGCTCTGATTGGCTGGTGGGCATGGCTTAAGGCATAGCGAAGGTATTGTCAATTTGCATGTTTGTCTTTTATTAGATATATATAGACAGGGTACTTTATAAAATCAATTTAATTAATAATATTAATTAAACTTTCATAGCCAGAATGCAAAAACTGTAGACCTGTTTTAATTATCTGTTACTCTGTAATATCAGGAAAACGTGATCAGCTTCCATTCAGTTATCCTCAAAGCATCTATCCATCCTATCTTGCCCCACTAGTCCTGTTTCTAGGTGAGAGTCTACTTATGTCACTCCAGTAAATTATTAACTAGTCTCTACTGGCTCTTAATTTAACCTATTTCAAACCCATTTTTAAAACTGCTGCTTAATGATACTGTAAATTGTCTTCTGATTGTTTCTTTTCCTGGCCCCAAAATGTAAAGATCCTCATTACCTCTCAGATGAAGCTCAGACTTCTTATGCAACTAACCATTCATCACATTCATCACTGTCTAGAGTCCACACCAAATCTAACTTTTTACTTTATTGCACATATCTCCTTGAAGAAGGCAGCTATGATCTAAGCCAGGGGTCCTCAAACTATGGCCCGCAGGCCACATGCGGCCTGCCAAAAACATTTATCTGGCCTGCTGGGTGTTTTTGCCGCTGCTGCCTGTTCCTTAGCAGCCAACTCATCCCAGGCCCGCAGTGCGCATGTGTGGAATGTGCGTTGCACTCTCCAACTCCCTTCCTTCTCTCTGTCTCTCAACTCCTCCTCTCAGTCTCGGGTGTGATCAGATGAGCCATGAGCTTGCCTGTGCAGAGCCTGCTGCTGCCTGAGGACCAAGGTAAGAACAAGTTAGGATTTTTTTGTTTTTTTGAAGTTAGGAGGTCTATTTTTTAATTTTTATTTTGCAGTTAGTAGGGCCTTTTTTTTTTGAAGTTAGGAGAGCCTTTTTTTTTTTTTGAAGTTTTGTTTTTTTACTTCAAAATAAGATATGTGCAGTGTGCATAAGAATTTGTACATAGGTTTTTTTTAAACTATAGTCTGGCCCTCCAGCGGTCTGAGGGACAGTGAACTGACCCCCTGTTTAAAAAGTTTGAGGACCCCTGTTCTAAGCGATACATACATAGACTCTTGAGCCAAACCACTGAAGTCCAAGTGCTGCTTTACCATTTTCTAACCAGGTAAATAGTTTGGACAAATAACCTCTCTAAGCCACAGTTCCATCATTTGAAAACAAAGGTAATACTCCTAAATAATTCCTATAAAATATTTAAACATTCTAGCCCATAGTAAGCACTCTATTTCATTGTCCAATCAAATGTGACTACTGACCATTCCTAAAACACAATTTCCCTTTCATACTTCTGTACCCCTTTCATCCAATTTTCTCAGCCTGGACTGATGTGCTCACTGAGCATCTGTCCACATTCTACAATCCTTTAAACTCCACTGTAAATGAAACTCCATGAACTCTTACATAAGTGTAACTAAAACATCCCTCTTCTTTGAATCCTTATAGTGCTTGTGTCATTGTTTTTTTATTTTTGATATATTCAAAGCCCACTGTTCTTTTTATTTATTCATTTATTTATTTTGAATTGATCCTAAGAGAGGAAGGAAGGGAGAAAGAGAGAAACATTGATATGAGAGAGAAACATTGATCAGTTGCCTCCCATACGTGCCCCAATGGGGATTGAACCCACAACCTAGGTATGTGTGCTGACCAGCCATCAAATCTGCCTCCGTTTGGTGTACAGAATAACACTCTAACCAACCAAACCACACTGGCCAGGGCTACTTTGTGTCATTCTTGATACACTAATTATATACTTCCAACTGTCTTAATCACCCATAATATTGTAACCTTTGTGTTTCTCAGGGCACCTGATTCCATATGTAGATATGTAAGTATAGACCAATGATGTATTTGCTGAATGAACTAATCCATCTATCAGCTCATTGAGACGACACAATGTCATGCCTCAGAAATCACTTCAGTAACTACATGCATTTCTTACCCTTCAACTGTTAACTTTCTCATTAAATAGCAAAAACAGTTTCAAGTAGACATTTTAAACACTTGTTACTTCAAATCCCCCTCTTTTGAAGATGTGGAATATAAATAATTTATATTATCGAGGTGAAAGAGAATAAGAATACTTGTTTCACAGATGAAATGAAATCCTACCTCTGTGGTAATGTTGTTATCTTCCACAAAGTAGGCCGCTTCCAGAGGGACAGGGAGAGAATGGACAAGGATGGGTCTCTCGAGGGAATCTGCTCCAGTGGGGAGACAGATGGCTCTCACATTTTATATCTCTAACAAAAACCCATTGAGCACACCTGTTGAGAGGGTCCTTTGCCCCCTAAAGGTTTAGGAACAGGAACTAAAATCAGCTCTATCACGAACAAGGAACATGGATGGTGTCTTATGCCCGGCTGTGGGCACACCTAAGAACTGCAATGGTCACTGTGGGCTGGTGCATCTCCAGCCAGTATGTTGGTGTGCATCCCCACAAAGAGGAAATTACATTTTCCAGTTGAGCTGGGTGTAACCTTTCCTCTCTGCCAGAAGAAAATTCTACCCCCATTTAACTTGAGGGATACTATTTCAATAGTTATTGTCTTTCTTCCAATTTCACATCTTTCCATCTTCCCCAATACTTCCCCCGCAGTCTCACATGTAAATTAACATATGAAATAGATGTCACATATTCGATGAAACTTTGTACATGTTTGGCTAAGCCTAGTGAAAAAGACACTAAAAGTATCATAGATTGAATTGGGGAAAAAAAGTATATTACCTGATAAACTGTTGCAGCTGAAATTTCTAGACATAATAGACATTGAGCTGTCGATCTAGAACAATGCCTTTAAATTCATGTAGCATTAGTGTGAGTTCTCAGGTTGTTGACTCTTTGTGTTGTGCTACAACTGAAGTTGGCTAAGTTTTCATGTGAAGAGCTAGATAGTAAACACCACAGGATTGCACGGCATATGGTCTCTGTCAAAACTATTCCATTGTGCCTTCTATTTCATTGTAGCACAGTGAAGCTGTAAACAAAATAAGAACAGATGCATGTGGCTGTGATTCAATGAAAATTTATTCATGAACAGTGAAATTCAAACTTTAATTTCTACATCACAAAATATTATTT